AAATAATCTTCATGGAAAAACATTCAGAATAATGACATAGACTATTTTTGGGTGAAATAGATCGATTTTAAAAACTATGCCAAATTTTTTCTTCCTTATTATTTTTCAATTCTCCACATAGATTTTTTTCACTTATTGATCATGTAAAACTGTCTATAAAAAAACCTGTATTTACCAGTGTTCAAATCAAACATGACAGAAAAATTTGATCCGAAGTGAAACATTGAAAAATATTACCATCCCATTATACAAATCTATCTAGATTTTTTTCTTGAGAGATAAAAATATTATTTCTAGAGAATTATAATAAGTATCCCTATAGGGAAAGATTATGCCGAGATTTTTTGGAAATATTGCCCTATTGTTGATAAAAATTAAAATTTTCTATATCAGTGACAAAAATCGTATAAAATCATGCTCGTAATTAGTGACTTTGATCATCAGAATTTCATTCATGAGCAGAATACATCTTATATTCGAATTCGGCATCAAAATTTCAGTTGAATGGCAAATATTTCAAGGAAAAATATTTCCTAGTGAAATTCCATTCCTAGCGAATCATCGACAAAATTCATGAAAAAACGACTGAGAACGAGTACAGGCGAGCATTTAACGATACGGTATTTTCGTTGAAACGTTTGACATCTAACTCAATTTTTGATGCTGAATGCAAATATTACATGCATTTTGCTCACGAATGGAATTATGATGATCAAAGTCACTAATTACGACCATGTTTTTTGTATGATTTTATCACTGAAATAGAAAATTTTGGTCTCATCAACAATGGAACAATATTTATACAAAATCTCCGCATAATCGTTTTCCTATAGGAATACTTATTATAATTCTCTAGAAATAATATTTTTATCTCTCAAGAAAAAAATCTAGATAGATTTGTATAATGGGATAGTAATATTTTTCAATGTTTCACTTCGGATCAAATTTTTCTGTCATGTATGATTTGAACATTGGTAAATACAGGTTTTGAAAATCAGTTTTACATAATCAATAAGCGAAAAAAATTTGGCGTAGTTTTTGAAAATCGATCTATTTCACCCAAAAATAGTCTATGTCATTATTCTGAATGTTTTTCCATGAAGATTATTTTTAAAAAACTGAAAAATTAGTTATTACATACTTATTATCCAATCATGTAGAAAACAACGACAAATAAAATCTTATTATGATTGTGAGTTTCTAGGACCTTTGCATTAGCCCTAGTATTTGAACAAATGTTAAAAATGCTGCGGTTCTTCATCATCATTATTACAATATAGATGTACTGTTCAATATCATTAGACAATAGAATAACACACAAAAAAAAAATAATAAACAAAATTTTTATCTTCTTTTTTTTCTTCACTGAAATTTGGTTTCTCAGAAAATAACAGAAAAGATGCTCTTAACGTTCATATTCTACTTTTATAGAAATGCTTCTTGACCCAGTTTCTGTCGCGACTTTAATATTACTGTCCCGAAGAATATAAATGTCTTGGAGACATCACTGGAAAAAATCTAGCTTTTTTAATTATGTCAAAAACGTTCTACGATACTTGAGTTCATTTGAAAAAAAACTAATACTGTTATTGTGTTATTAAAGACAGTTTTCTATAGTTTGCAATGTTGTTTATTTCTCTAAATCATGTTTAAAAAATGATGTACTTGCTACTATCTGTCCTTTTTTTCTGTAATTTGATGCATACGTTACAACTGTTCATTATTGAAGAAATTTACTGCGTTTTGAGTTTCTTTCATAGTTGATCGTGTCAACGAGTCACAAATTCAATTAAATTTTATATCAAATTTCTCAACAATTCAACTAGAAACCATCAAGATCAGTCATTATTTATCAATCGATCGTGACATTATCATTCTATTGTACTTATGAATTTCGTTAAATTTGATTGTTTTGACATTCGTTTCATTAGTAAGAATTTCTCGACGGTTTTATTTTAAGCCACCGCGCTCATTCAGGTAATTCTCTTTAGTCTATGTGCATGTCAATAGTCAACGGAAAAAACAATTTAATTGCGCATCATCTACGTTATTCGACATGATAAATGCAATATAATTATCTTCATTTATAATCATATACAGTAGATGACACTTGCAAATGAATTTTTATAAATTATTCTGTTGCATTTTACTCTTTGGAGATTTCTTTTCATATCGAAAAGCTCCTCCAAACTATTTGCGTATGTTAGTTTTGAACAAAAACAGATGATTGCCAACTAAGAACACTTTTTTATCGACAAACGAAAAAAACTTTGTTTTTCTATGCATATCACGTAATTAAAGCGTCTCTTCTGTTGTATCTTGAACTGTACGCGTTCAGATATTTTTTATTTATCTCGACCGCATAATAATAATTTGCATACCCACCAGTTTCTTTCATATTCCATGCGTCTTTTTCGTTGCATATATTCTATTCTTTTTTTGTATGCATTTTCAAAATGTTAGAATCGGCAAGTACTACGAGACCAAATGTACTTATATCGAGTAGTTCGGAGATTTGTTTTGTATTTAAATTCATGTCGTTTTTTCATTTTATTTGCATCATATGAGAATAACTTTTTTGTTAAATAGAACATTCTTTTCTTTATTTTGTCTCAAGTGTATACACGTTCTCTTTATTATACTTCAATTTTCTAATGCGTAATTTCTTTATTAGTCACATAGATCGATTATGCATAAGTCGAACAGAAATGTTCGGTAATATGAAGTATTGAAAAGTTATTATCATATAATACATGAAAAAAAAACAACAACCATCGTAACAACACATGTTAGGAAAACAACTTAATTATGTATCCGTTTGATAGATAACATCACCCTTTTTCATTGTAGAAGTAAAGGATTTTTCTGTTAATTATAGGGCAGAATGTTTTCACATATGACTCTTTGACAATTGAAACATGTAATTTTTAATTTTTAGATAATAGAAACCTTATTTAAACACGCATAAATTTATAAAGAATGAATTCAAAGTTCAAAAAGTATTGTTTTTTATTCACAAAACACATCATATGATGTATTATTTTAATATTCTTAAGTCCGAATCTATATATATAACTGATTAAATATAATCTCTCATGAATACTCTGGCGACAAGTGATAAGCCCAATATCTAGATGAAACCATTTCATTTACATAAATATTCATTATTTATTCATCATCTGAGAATTATCTTTGAGGTTAGTTTCCTCTTCGCCGAAATTCGATAACTTGTATTTTGGCGATGTAACTCTCGGCAATCTGTCAATTCGACCATATGACTATCAAAAATGCCTGTTTTCAGCGATTTTCATTGCAATGACCGATGTTATTGGACATTCACTGAGATGATGCCTACAGTATGTAAGTACATGAGCATATATGAAAAATTTCGGTGATGAGGTATACAATCTTCATTAAGGTTAAAGCTCATTGTTTAATATTAAAACTAACTTGTGGTATCCTAAAAGGAATTTTTATTAAAATAAACGAAACTATGGGTGTATTTTAAAAGCGTTAATCAAATTCTCGCCTGAGTATTATAATGTTCCTGAACTCTGACAAATACTTCCAGCTGCAAAAGCATGAAGTATTCACCTTAGTAAGTCATTTCATATGGAACCAATTGAGCAAAACCTAAATTTAAAAGCATATGCTAAATATAGATACTACAAGCAAAACGTAATTTGCACAATCATAGACAATAATTAATCATTTTTATCATTTGTTCTTTTTCTTTACAATATGTAAACATCGAACGCAAAATAGATGCAGCTAAAAAATAGTGATTCCGGACGCAAATTGAAATTGAATCTCGTTCCGACAAAATAAATATTGTATCTAAACTGTGTAAAGATGCGTGTTTATATTCAAAATAATATTTATTCTCTTAAGAAATAACTCAATCATGCATATTTGTAAAATGTATATGTTTTCTTTTTCGTAATTAAAAAAAAAATACTTTGTTCAAGGAATCATTTGAATCTTTTTCTTTATTTGAACTTTATTTTCATTCTTAGTTTCAAAGAAATGCTTTTATTTATTTATCCATGTTTAACTAAGTATGTAAATATTCGGTCTAGATGATGTCTTTTTTATTTAATATAAAAGAGTGCACTTATTTCTCTTTATGAGTAGAAATCGATTAAATGAGTAAGTAGACATCTGCGTTCTCTATCGAACTTATATTCATTTGTTTTATTTCACTTAAACAAAAACGAAACTATCCATCATGATTTTTGTTTTTTATAAATTCTAACAGAATCGAATTCAGATTAGTAATAGTTTTTTAAATCTATACTAAACATGAGTAAAACATAGATGTAATATATTATTTATTTGAATCGAGTTTTTTTTTATTTGTAGAAACCTCATTAAATATTAAGTTCTTAGATTTATCTGTATATCTGTATTATAATAAAGTAGGTTCAATAAGAAAAGTAAATCAGTTTATATAACATAGAAGAGTTCGTTCTTTCTTGATAGAATAAATCCTTAGTTTCACTTCCAGGCGGCTAGATTTTGTAATACAAATAATAGAATACTTTCTTTTGCAAAGTCATAACCGCCAAATGAGTAGAAGAATGTATGCTTATATAAATACTTTTCACTGCTGCGATTATTTTCTTTTTCACGTCTTCTTTTTACCAAATGTTCATTTTTTTTTGGCTATTGCATTAGAAGATGTTTTCTATTTTATCTGTTATCTTCTTTAATTATAATTTTAGTTTATAGAAATAATATACGATTCTAAGACGTTTTTAATACCAATATTAATATTTATTAATAATTACGTTTTCTGAATTTTTTTTCTCTCGTCTTTCTTATTTGGTAGTTAATACATTTTTTTCTCATACAAAAGATAGAAGAATTATAAATGAAAACTAAAACAACAATTTATCGTTTTTTCTTTTTACTAACTATAATTATTTTTTTTTCGTCTAAAGATAATTGAAAGTTGAAGTCGAACAAAAAAAAAATTATCTTAAAAAATATACCGGAAAATGTCATGGAATAATACTACAACTATAAATGGTACATCAGCTCGTATTTTTTACATTCTTGATTTCATAAAACAAGAATTTATTGTTTATCTACCACTTATATTTATCAGTTTTGGTGTGATTGGCTTTATTGGTAATGCATTTACATTTCTTCAACCATCACTTCGATTTAATAATTGTTGTATTTATTTACTTTGTGGTTCATTAGTTGATGTTATGAATCTTTTTATTAATCTTTTGATGAACTATCTAAATGTCACGACTGGTTATATACTTTCTTTAATAACTGTTCGTCATTTATGTAAACTGAAAATTTTCAGTTTAGTTTTTTTGCCACAATTATCTATAAATTTCTTAGCCTTGTCTCTTATTGATCGTTTTGCTTGTACATGTAGTTTGACATCATCTATAAGACATATTCGACGCTTAAAAATGATACCATGGATAATTGTTATTATTATCGCTATCAGTGGTATTAGTTCGTTCTACGCACCTATTTACTATGATATTGTACCCAATTTGGGATGTGTCTGTACAAATCGACTTTTCAACGCTGTTTTATACATTATTGTGCATGGTTTCATAACACCATTTTTTATGTCGATATTTGTATTACTTACTTATCGAAATGTGCAACTAAGTCGTCATCGAGCAGTAAATCTATTGTTAATACCTTTTATTAATTCAAAAAATGTTTTTGCTTTTTTATTTCTTAGGGTTTAAAAAATCTTGCAAATATAGATCGATCTCGAAATCCATTTATTCGAATGATTTTTACTCAAGTTTTTACAACAAGTTTCTTAACATTACAATGGATTATTTTTTACATCTATCACTTGATCGTTGTAGATAATATAAAGAGTGATGAGCAACACACTGTTCATTATTTTGTTTGGTATGTTAGTAATAATATCTATTATCTTATTAATGTTAAATCATTTTATCTTTCTACGTTAACATCCCGCTCATTTCGAAAGACATTTCTTGGCGCTTTATTTCAATTGTTATCTTGTCGTCAACAACGACAAAATAATATAAAATATTCAGAATATTTTACCAATACTTCGTCAAAAACTAAAACAGATGACAAGTCACAGTATGAAATGTGAATGATATTTATATAGAATTCTATTAAAACTCAAATGTGAACTTGTTTTATTTCATTTTCTATTTATTTTATTTACACGTTCCATTCGATGTGAATAATTAAGTAAAAAAAATCTTTTTATGTGAAATTTCGTATTATGCTACCTGAAGCGAAGATTATTTTGATCAAAGTCTATTGTGTCATATTCATTAGATTCAACATTCCGTTTCTGATGAATGATATCTATTTGAATTATCAATGCTGCAAACGACAACTTTTATTTGGAAGAAAACACTATCGACATATATAACATTCTATTAGTTAAAATGAATGGTCTTGTATTTAATCATGCTGTTGATAACGAGTTCTGAATTCTGCTTACTATTTTGTTTTTCTTGAATTTAATATGAATTTATTTATGAAATATGAATATTTAACTATATCGATGAAATTTATGTTAAATAAAAAAAAGAGAACAAACAAGTTTCATAACGGAGATGATGATTATTTTCGAAATAAAATAAATAAATTGTGTTCAAAAATTAAAGATTGAAATAAAAAAAAGCATGGAAAAACTGAGAAAAGACTACATTAGAACTATTAATTAGATGAGATTTTTTACAGTCTTGACACCTGTCGGTTATAAACAGCGACTTTCGCATTAATTAATCATTGATAACATAATAAATATAGTTATATGACAATGAATAGTATTATATTCTTGCCAAAAGACATACGGATCGCTATTTTTGATCTGTTAGCGCATAGATTTACGATACATTTTGTTTTTGTGACATAATCTGACATAGTGATTATGTGCCTTTGATATTAACCAAAAGCTTTCTGATGATTTCCGTTATCTTTTGCTTGAATTATATGTTTCTTTTTTTTCAGAAAAAATGACGTTTTTTCTCCAATTACCCTTTTCTGACCGCACATTAGAGAATCCTGGAAGGAACTTCGTTCTAGCCAACGCCTTTTTTTTTGTTTTTTAAAAGAGTATCTGAAGTTTCAGTGTCTGAAATAGCTCGTAGTTAGAACTAAATTGTTTATTATTATGTGAAATTACTTCTATAAATAGATGACCATATTTTGAGAGTTTTTCAAGGTACTGAACTTGTTATGCCTTTTTCCCCATGAAAAATAAAAACATAAATAACGGACTCAGTCAAGCATTGCAGTCTGAGACACTCTTTCAAATAAAAAAAAATGAGTACATAAAATGAGAGGCCACAAAGAATTCTGAATTGCCAAATGAATTGTTTGGGTCCTCTGTTTGATGAAAATCTTCCTGAAACGTGACGATATAAAACTGAGGAGTTTAGTATATTCTCTTTACTACAGCTCGAATGCTTAGAACAGTTCAAAAGCAATGGCAATGACACTTTAATGCTGTAAATTAAATTTAGAAAATTTTCTTATTATATGCAGGAATATTAAAAGTAATGCGCTATCTTTCTGTGATATTTGATGATTCCTCAACCCATATCATAATAAGAAAACTTTGATATGCGCTGTTTGTTATGATATGTGATGATAACATCAACTCATATTTATCTTTAGTGTATATCTACTTCTTGATGTTTTTTGCTCTCCTGTTTTCTTTTCTTTCTTCTTTTTTTCCGTGTTCTCTAGTGCCTGTGGTGTGGATGTCGGTGTGGATATATGGGTAGATGTCGCTCTCAAGGTGAAAAGGAAACACAAACCCATACCCTAGGTATTAAAGAAAACGCGGAAAAAAAGAAGAGAGAAAAGATAACAGAAGAACATCAAGACGAAGATACACATCGAAGATAAATATGTTTTGATGACATCATCACATATCATAACATACATCTCTTGTCGAAATTTTCTTATTGTGATATTAGTTGAGGAAAGATCAAATATTACAGAAAGATAGAACATTGTTTTAATTATCTCTGCATATAAAGAGACAGTTTTCTAAAGTTTACTATATGGTAGTAAAATGTCACTACCACTACTTTTGGACTGTGCTAAGTATATCCTGAAAACTTCATGCGAGTGAAATATACGTGCATCAGCATCAACGGTTCAGGAAAGCAAGAGTCTTTAATATTTGAAGAAGATGCTTCAAATGAGAATTAACTGAATGCATTAGAAAATGATCACGAAATATTGGATGAAATAAAGGCTTCAAAAAAAGTTTCACTACCAAACACGAATTGAAAAAACTCTTTCGAACATGCTTCCGACAAAAAGTGTCTAAGTGTCAAACAGCTTTTGAGTCGAAGATACCGTATTTTTTATAAGAATGCCGTAGTCCACCTCAGGAATACTGAGTTTTGAATTTCCACTTAAAACTTTGCATAAGGACAAGCTTTAATGAGAATAGTTTATTGGGGAAATGTTCAGATCTTTTGATTGCTTCTCCTGTACAATACAGCTATGATAAAAGCATGTTTTTCATGGTGCTTATATAATTACAATGGCAAAGTCTGATGTTTTTCTTTCAGAATAGGCGCAATTGAAAAGTTTGAAACTTTCACAATGAACTATTTTCCTTACAGTCTGTCTCTATATAAAGTTTCAAGTCAAAATGGGATATTCAGTTTTCCAGGTATTCCTGAGATGCACTACGACATTCTGCTAAAACATACACTGTCTTGACAGCAATAATCTATTAGTTCGAACACTTTTCAGGATACTCATAGCTCATTAGTATCTACCTGATGCATGCAGTCTCGACTCAACAGCGAATTGATATTAGAAAACGTTCCCTTATTATTTGCCAACAAAACATTAATATAATAACAAATTTAAATCAAATTAACATTACAAAAATATATCTTGTGACCGATAAAGTCATTTTGTCTGTTCTAATAAACTAAAATTAGAAAAAGCAGAACATCTTTTTTTATATAAATTGCATTCTAATATGTTACTAATATCCATTTCAATGAACAGTGCAGTCGGTTGTAAGTTGAATAACTTCGGCTAGGAAACAGCTAGAGACCTGCGGTGTTCAGGTTGGAGTAGAAGGCGAGGANTTGCTGTCAAGACAGTGTATGTTTTAGCAGAATGTCGTAGTGCATCTCAGGAATACCTGGAAAACTGAATATCCCATTTTGACTTGAAACTTTATATAGAGACAGGCTGTAAAGAAAATAGTTCATTGTGAAAGTTTCAAACTTTTCAATTGCGCCTATTTTGAAAGAAGAACATCGGACTTTGCCATTGTAATTATATAAGCACCGTGAAAATCATGCTTGTATCATAGCTGTATTGTACAGGAGAAGCAATCAAAAGATCTGAACATTTGTCAATAAACTATTCTCATTAAAGCTTGTCCTTATGCAAAGTTTCAAGTGGAAATTCAAAACTTAGTATTCCTGAGGTGGACTACGGCATTCTTATAAAAAATACGGTATCTCCGACTCAAAAGCTGTTTGACACTTAGACACTTTTTGTCGTAAGCATGTTCGAAAGAGTTTTTTCAATTTGTGTTTGGCAGTGAAACTTTTTTTTGAAGCCTTTATTTCATCCAATACTTCGTGATCATTTTCTAATGCATTCAGTTAATTCTCATTTGAAGCGTCTTTTTCAGATATTAAAGACTTTTGCTTTCCTGAACCGTTGATGCTGATGCACGTATATTTCACTTGCATGAAGTTTTCAGGATATACTTAGCACAGTCCAAAAGTAGTGGCAGTGACATTTTACTACCATATAGTAAACTTTAGAAAACTGTCTCTTTATATGCTGAGATAATTAAAAACNCAAAACTACGTCGAATGACATGTCTTTGAGCTTCATTTGATGACTTTCATTTTTCACCATATAGATATCATGTACATGCTATGATCCACAGAACGCTATGATAGTTGAGTGACCAAAACGAAAGTCATCAAATGAAACTCAAAGACATGTCATTCGACGTAGTTTTGCATACTGATTCCGAATACACACTCTGTTTAGTAATTTGACTCCAATGAAGGGTCAAAAAATCGTGAAAACTGTTGAAAATGCTACTTTTGGACTCTAGGAGAAATGCCTGTAACTTCCTAACGGTAAAAGCTAGAAAGCTGGGGTTGGTGTCAAATGATAGATAATCGTCTACTTTATTAAACCTATGTCAAAAAAACTCAATGCCAATGTCAGTGATGACGCTTAGGCAAGTTGCTGCAAATTTTGCAGGCAGGTGACCTCAAATTTTGGGATAGTGCCGTTTTGCTCATATTTCTATATAAAGTTGCTGCCCTTCTATCCAAAACTGAAAACCGCAGGTCTCTAGCTGTTTCCTAGCCGAAGTTATTCAACTTACAACCGACTGCACTGTTCATTGAAATGGATATTAATTGGAATACTTTTAAATCATTTTAGATTATATCTGATAATTATTTTGTTTTGTGTATCAAAAAAGAAATAAGAACAACATTTTAAACATGTTGAAAAACTATTTTTGTTTGCCATTATTTTTAATTATTCTATAAATATCTATAATTGTGCTCTGTTCAACAATACAGATAAATACTAAAGATCTATGCTTTGATGATGAAAGAATAAAGATTTTTATTTGATATTAGAGTGATATTGTTTCATTCTATAAAAGAAAAATTTAGTCTTTAATTGTTGCAGTAAGATTTTTCCATTCATTTGTTCTAGTTTGAATAAGATTATCAAGTTTAATTGATAAATCATTTGCTTTTGGTCGAAAATCTTCATTTTGTCGATTAATATAATCAAGAAATGAATTAACAATTGAATTACTAGAAAATAAATAAATAAACATAAAATTTCCTTTATTTTTTTTTTTGGTTTTTTACTTTTTCGAAAAATCATTTTCAATTTGTTTAACTCTTTCAATTAAATTTTTAATATTTAAATCAATATTTATATCTTGTTTAGGTTGTTTAATATCATTTGTTGAAATTGTTGATTTCGAATTTTCAATTATCATCTTAATATAATTAATTATTTTATTCATTTGTTCACTTGTTTGATCAATAAGTGATAATCTATGTTCAAGTAAACCATCAATTAATTTACAAAAATTTAAATGTT